GCCACACTGCTTATCTAGCTCCATATTCGAATGCACAAGCCACATGTGGTGGGATGTCAATGAAGTGACAACATTTGCAATTCGTTTGTTGCTTCATTTTGAGGTGAGGCGTCTACAGGTTCTGCTTTGGCTAGAACACATTCTTTTGATTGCTAAGATGATGTGGCAGCCAGTGCAGATAATGCGGATCGTAAATGGCATCCTAACACATGAAGCGATGGAAGAAGAGCGCAATATTGGAATGTTTGAGAAATTGGCAACAAAGATGGCAAAGAAGACAAACTGCTTTTTCTGTGATATGAAAGTAGAATCCAGCAAATACACCTCCTCTTCTCAACAATAGGCAATTTATTTCGATGTTCTCATATTACCCTGGTTACAGACACGCACTGCTTGGCATGTGACGCCCTTGACTTAACAGGCAATGCAGTCAATGTCAAACAAGAAGAGAGGATTGGCTGCCCTTTCGTTGAGTCTCATGTTCTTTGTGCCCCATTGCTTCAATATGGGAAATAGTGAATGCCTACCTTGGTCATTTACACCTGGCAATATTTTCAAATTCTGTTTATGAAACGAATGCTTTTTTGCCTGGAACCGGACCGATTTTTTTAATTGTAGGACTACCTAGCTGACTTGCTTAATTGTGCACTTCCTAATGGGCGGGTAATGGATGAACTAAGTAAGTAAGCTTTAGATGAGCAGTAAAAGTACTCGTAGAATACAAAGCAAGACCGTCATTCCGTTAGTATCTAAAGCGCTGCCACCATTCTTTAAATAATTAAAGTCTTTTACTGACACACATGAACAAATAGCACACTCCCACTGCGGCATTGCGGAAATCAGTTGTGTGGGGAGCATGAGGAGGCATACAGTTTGGAGGTCCTCGGAGTACCAGTGGTCTTCGATGATGCATCTGTCATCGTCCATTGAATTGGCCACTTCCCTCAGAGATGCTGACATACTCTAATGGCAAGTACTTCAATTAAATGGAAAACGATTCTTGGTACAGTTGGCTGGGCTCAACTTGAGCTTCAAGCATTCGACTGCCTGCATCCCTTCAAATGCGGTGGGTTTTTACACTCCGCCAGCATTGCAGATGAGATAAGGAATAAAATTCAATTCAATACTGACCGAAATACTGCAAGCATCTGCTGAAAGCATACTACAGGATGCATTTATCAACTGCTTCTTTACCGTCTGAAGCGGATAAGGATTGAATGTCCCTTTCCTGACAAAAATTCACTTCAACAGCTTCATTTTGGTTATCAGTCCATTTGAAAATGCACAACCATCCGACTAGCTGATTAGAACATATAGGACCATCGCCTGCTCTCCCAACGAGACGCATCGTCAATGTGCGCGGATTCTTCACAGCCAGCGCAAATAACTCCTTCAGGCAAGCAAACCCCACTCTGCTACTACCGACCCACACTTCACCGTCCCAAGGCCATTAATTCATTACCCTCTCCTCCATTAGATTCTCTCTTTACATGCAACAAGGCTCCCTGTATGGTGGCATTCGTTAATCTGTCGAAAAGGAGGATTGAGAACCAAAGCGTAAGCGCCTGCAAAGCTGTTA